TCAGTTTGCCTTGGCCCCATGAAGTTACCCTTTCCTTCTTTCCCTTTCAGTTATGGACCGTGAACTATAATCATTCTCTTCTTGAATGGGGTGTGTTAATTTATTCCCTTACAATTCTGCTCATGAACTTTGTGGACCAAATTACTTTGTCTTGGTCAACACTCCCCTTTATGTACTGTGCTCCCTGAAGACAGGGACCATCTCCAGCACACAGCACAGTGCCCGACACACAGAAAGTGCTTAATCAATGCTTTTTCATTCACTCATTCATTAAAAAAAGTGTAACACTTCAAAAATTCTATTTTTAAAAGTCAAGGATCAGATGAAACAATCCTCTAAACTTTGTGGTCTCCCTGAGCACTTAGCATAGTTCTCTGACTACAGTAGGTATTTTGTAAGTATCTGAATAATGAATACACAGATGGATGAAACCAAAACTTGGAAGTATTAAAAGGTCAGATCCCCAAATTTACACTCTCTCATTTTTGTGAGAAAGTATCTAGTCCTAGAGAATTAAGGGCTATCCATTTTTTTTCTTCCTATTTTGCACAAATTAGCCCTAATAATCATGATCCTTAGTTGTTCCTGCTACTCCATTAGATGTTACTAATTTGTCCATCTCCACCATGACTGCATAGTGCTCTCTACACGAAGGGAAGGAAACTCTTGCCAGAAAAGAGCCCGGAAGCCTCTCAATACAAAAACTAAACATCATCAAGAAGACCACCTTTCTCTAACAAGCCCAGCTGTGTGTGACTTTCGAATTCTAAACAAGCCTGTAGAGCTCAATGCTGCACTGCCAGGGCTGTGCTGGAATATTTAACTTGACAGGGTTTTTTGCATTAAACCTCAGCCTGCAAAATTATTCAATATCTTGCATAAGGCCTGTTATTTATGCAAAGTGGAAATAACATTTATATTTCATGGTTTATCAAATTCAATTTGTATCACTCATGTCTATGCAAAAGCTTGCCTCTTGTAAGCGTGATATGCAACCATCGGAAGTTACCAACTGCTGGAGAATATTTCCAGAATCCAGGCGTGATGCAGCAGGGTCACTTAGCAACATGCAAACACAGAACACAACATTCGTGTTAAGATTAAATTGTGTTTTAAAGATAGGATTGGGCTCTAAAATAAACTCTCTCTTAGGTTTTCATTTTGGCCTCACTTTTGGTCTTATGGTATGTGATCCTTCATTGTTTTCACTGAACTGGGGCTGTTTCATTCTCCTGCAGCATACACCAAAAATGATACACAGGAGCTTACATGGTCATTGCTGCATGTTTTCTCCCAAGCAGAATTTGGACATTGTCAACCAGAATTTGAAAGGGCTGCTTACTCCAGAAAGATTAATTCAGGTGGGAAAATATCATTGAAAAGGGCTTCTACTTTTATGGACTATAAAATAGCCCTCATTGAACTTCAGCATCTTCCTCTTAACCTTGGTCCTCACCCTGCTTATCTGGCTGCTTACTGTAATCATTTTGCACTATTCAGGGAATCTTGACCATCTGGGTTTCATTAACCAACTAACTTTTCCACTCCAGCTCTCTTCTTTTCCCCTCTGGTCATTTCACATTATGGCAGGCTGCAATGTACCATAAAAGGGAGGAAGTCTCCCCCTGCTTTCCATTTCCAGCCTTCTTTTCTTTTCAGTAAACAAAGAAGCAAGATAGAAAATAAAAACTGTATGGTCTCCAGGTTCTTCCACAGCACTTTATAAAGAACTAACTTTCTGGGAAGCGAAATTCAGCTTAGCAGAAAAAGCTACACAACAATGCAAACCATCTTATGCTTTGGAAATTAAGAGAGCCTGAAAAAAAAGTTTAGGAACAGGGCCTACTTTTGATATGGCTCTTCTTAGAGTATTAATATTATAATCTGCAAAATTAAGAGCATAGCAAATGACTTTAGACTGACAGATGTTACCAGGTTGGTATGACAAAATACTCTGTTAGACAATTCTGTGGAGGTATGCTTGTAGCAGCAAAGCATAAAGCATGCCCGGGATTAGGCACAAAAATGGTTTGCCACCTGTCATTTCAAATACCACTCTGGATTCTAATTGGTGGTAAATCTCAACACAATTTCTATGTGGTGACTCATAAAACCAACATGAGGTTTGGCATGATTCTGGGTGGTTGGCAATATCTGCTAAATGAAGACCAAAGATTCAAAAAGCAGAAAATTTTGTACTCAAGATTAAGACATACTGGCAAAGCCTTGTTGAGAAGCTTGAAGAGCATCTGTTCAGGCTGCAGGGGGCATAAAAAAAATCTCCCATGGCAGTTTTAATGTGAGATAAATGTCTCTATCGAGCTAGCTGCAAGGCCTTATTATCCCACGTGAGAATGGCCAGACCTTTTGCTTCTTTACTCTCTTTATTTGACTATCTAGGTAGGTAAGGTGACTTCCAAGGAGTAGATTGTTTTACTACCTATATTCTATTCTAGACTGGTATGGTAGCCTTGGAGGTTATTTGGAGCCACAAGTGGCTCACGTCAGAATGGCCTCTGGAATTCTAATGACTTCACTTAAAAGCTAGGCCCACCCGGGGCTACCAAAGCAGGCATGTTGTTCTAATCTTTGTTGGAGAAATAGGCTAGGAAGAGCCAGGCTCTTTGCAGCTTGGAACAGATCAGTCAACAATTCAGCCTCTTTTCTTGTCCCACCTCTCCTCTTCCACTTGGTGGGGAACAGGCACTGAAAGGATTTCATAGGACTGGGGAGCCTCAGAGAAGGCTCTCTTAGAATTCTGTGACCTGTGATGAAGGTCCAATCATTGTTTAGTACAGCAGCATCTCCAGTGCCACAAACCACTCTCCTGTGGCCTATGTTATGGTCCTGATATCAGGCCCTCTCTCTTTCTGCAGTTGTAATGGTTATGGAAGCCTATGGCTGCTCCCTAAGTCCTTCTCTACGTGAATGGAAGGGAATTAGGAGAGGAAGCCATAAATTAGGGGGATCCCACACAGGCTGTATACTGTTTGGAAATTTTTCTTCCAAGACTATATCAAGTAATACTGTGGTCACAGTCTATCTAGAGATCTTCCTATCCCACTTTCACCCCGAGGGCTATTTTTTTGGCAAGGCAATGGGGTTAAGTAACTTGCCCAGCGTCACACAGTTAGCAACTGTTATGTATCTGAGGCTGGATTTGAACTCAGGTCCTCTTGCATCCAGGGCCAGTGCTCCATCTCCCACGCCACCTAACCGCACCTTGCCCCCCCCCCGGGGCAATTTTCAATCACAAGTGTATGTAAGGTAGCACTATATGGACGGGTTAGAAAATCACAGGATTTAGAGCTAGAAAGGCTATAGATACAGTTCCCTCATTTTGAAGATAAGGAAAGCAAATCCTTACAAGGGGAAATAATGTGCCCAACATATAAATAATAAGCAACACAATCAGAATCTATTTATCTTAAGCTCTCTGTTCTTCACTTTCTTCACCTGTAAAATGAGGGAGATGGACTAGATGACCTCTAAAGGCCCTTTCCAATCTAGATCAATTATCTTTCCTTTAAAAAAAAATACCCAATCCCAATACCCATCCTCTGACTTTAAGACATATAAACCACATCACAACAACATTCAGTTAGATGGGCAGCCTACAGACTTATTGAATCCTGGATGGGCCCTATATATAAATAATAAGCTGACCTTAGAATGACATAGAAGATTGATTTGGATTACATTTTGAAAATCATAGTATTTTTAGTGCTTCTAAACTGTCCATCTCCTTAATACCAATATTCTACTCCTAGTGATATAACTTCATATGTCTTAAAATCAGGGAATACAATGATCTTAGAATTAAAATTATATATAACTCTAAGGCAATGTAAAGAAGTGTGTAGGCTATGAGCAGGCTACAGCAAGATAACAACAATAATTTCCAAGAGTATGTCTGGTCAAAAAAAGCAGGTGAGCATTTATTAAGTACCAACTACATGTGAAGCACTGGGGATACAAACACAAAGATATCCTGGCCTTCAGGAAGCTTAAATTTTCAAGAATTAGAGAAAAAACCCTGTAATAGTACCCCCAAGTCAATAGAAGGAAGGCGATCACGGTAGATACTCTGTAGAGGGCAAATGCACAAAAACAGGCAAGAATCAAACAGAATAGGAAGACATGAAGAAGTTGAAATCTGCATTCCTAACAGTGTTTTATGGTTTGCAAAACACTTTACCACATTGTTGACATCAAAACTATCTTCTTCAATACCTATTTATTTCCTAGCCTGCCATGAAAGATCACAAAGAACATTCTACACACCACCCAATTGCCATAAAAGCTTCCATTTCCCATAACTGCAAGTTAAGCTTCTGACTTGCCATTGCATACTAAGGTCCTCCAGGTCTTACCACCTGACTTGCCTCAATTCCTTTAAGAACCTTGAGCACTGTGATAGATTTTCTGATGCAACTTAATGAGCTCAGACAATTCACCTCGCCACTATACCCTCAGTAATTCCAGGCTTTTCTCTCCACCCAGGGGCACAGCTTTCTTTTATGTGTTATCTTCCTTAATTATAGTCTGAGCTTCTAGAGGGCAAGAACTGTCTTATGTTCTCCATTTGTATCACAAAGGTTTAGCACAGTGCTAGGCACATAGTAAGTGTTGAATTAATTAGCTAATTAATTCACTTATTTATTCATTTAATGTATATTTCCAGGTCTTAACTAATTACATTTGTATTTCTTTCACCAGTGAATATCTAAAATTATTCCTTCAAAAGCATATCTGTTGTGATTAATGAGAAGTGATGAGTGAAACAAAGAAATTTTAATTAAGGCAAATGTTAAGGAACCTTTTCCATTAACTAAAAGGTTCTCTATTTTCTAACAAGGTAGCATTTGAAAAAACAAAATTTCACATAAGCCAAAGGATGACTTCACTTTTCAACTAAATAGTGGGACTGTCAGACTGAAGACCTGGTAAAAGAATTATGGATCAGGATGCCTGATTAGCCTGGAGTCACATCTCTTTACCTGGGGATTTGCAGCCAAGATAGTGTAATTTCCATCATCATCTAGGGTGGAGGCTGTGGTGTGGAGAGAGCAGGTCCCATCAGGATCTTTTTGAATGCTGTAGTGATCACTTCTAGCAGAAATTTGCTTTCCATCTTTGAACCAATAGATCTGCAAAGGGAAATTATAAATGAACAGTAAGAAGATGGAAGAACTTTCTTTCCAACCACTTTTTTCTAGTTTGTGATGAGTAAAGGCCTTTATATTATCTTTTGTTATGTACAAAACTTCCTGCACTAACACCCTGCACTTAAATGCTCATTGTTATGGTGGGGGGGAGGGGGATGATCCTTGTTTCTTGAAGGCAATGCCAATGGAATAGAATACCTGCCAGGGTTTGAATGTAGGCCCAGTGATGGACTGTTGGTCTTTTGTCTGAAGAGCAGTCCAGCTCAGTTCAGAGAACTTCATCATTAGATGTGGTTGGGTAGTACTTAATTTTTCAGGCATGGGAAATCTAGAGGACCATCTACTAAGGCATGAAAGGGCAGCAATCTGTTACTAGAGGATATACCCACACCAAATGAAATAAAAGATACATGAAGAATAAAGTATGTACAAAACATAGCTGTACGCCATAAGTTACTAAAATATAGTGTCAAACTAAGAGAAGAAAACATTGGAATAATTGAACTTCTCTTGGAAATTATTTCTTCTTTTAAAATAGGATTCTTAATTGAAATGGTGTCTAGTTTTTTCCTGTAGCATTAATCTTAGTTTCTGATCTGACCCTATTCTCTTTTACATTAAATGCCCCACTTTGCTTCATCACCGTGATTCACATCTTCCTGGGATCTCCTTGTTTTTGGTCACTTGCCCTACCTACCCCCTCCAAAAAAAACCAATCACCTCTCCTCTGTCATATACAGATATAAAAAGATAAATATTTATTCACAGTCAGTTTAGTCTCCCTCACTGAATTCTTCTTTGCGGCCTTCCTATATGCTTATCTAGTTTATATTAAGTTAATAAAGGGAACACACCGTGTCTGTTTCATTTTCTTCTTCACATGTAACGTAACTTCCAGGACATATGAGGTTTCTTTTTAACCTTTTATGTAATCTTAGACCCAAGTAATCATCAACAAGAAAGTCATTCAAATAGGAAAAAAGATGAAAGCCACATTGACTATGGGCAGCCAGGTGGCTCCATATTGCATAGAGTGCTCTGCCTGTAGTCAGCAAGACTTGTCTTCCTCAGTTCAAATCTTGCCTCAGACATTCACTAGCTCTGTGACCCTGGGCAAGTCACTGAACCCTGTTTGTCTCAGTTTCCTCATCTGTCAAATGAGCTAGAGAAGGAAATGGCAAATCACTCCAGTATCTTTACCAAGAAAACCTCAAATGGGGTCATGAAGCATCAGATATGACTAAAAAATGACTGAACAACAAAACTAGGAGTATCATTATCTGCAGTGTTTAATTTGTAAAAATACCCTGTTTACTTCTATTTCTACTTATGATATATTTTTTTCAAATTCTGACAGAATTCTGATTTCTTTTATATAACTGAAGTCAGATACATATATATGTGTATATGTGTATATATATGTAGATATGTGTATGACAGTTGGCATGGTGTAGTGGGTAGAAAGCTGGCCTTGGCCAAGGCTAGGAAAACCTGGGTTCAGGTTCTGCCTCTTACACACATTGGCTAGTTTACTCTGGGCCAGTCATTTAACTTCCCAGTGGTGTCAAAATCAAATAGAAATGGATCCCTGCAGGCTGCATGTTGACCTAGAAAACCACAAATCAACTGTCTCTATGTTGTATTTTTATTGATATTGTTAAAGATTTCCCCATTACATTTTAATCTGGTTCTGGCCTATATTAGGGAGTTTTGCTGAGTTGAGTTTGACCCCTCTGATCTAGGCAATTCTCTAAAACTTTCCATTCCAGAGAAGGTGCCAATCTGTATTGATAGAGGGTGTTTCCTCATCTCGAAGTTCCCTATACAAAATGAAAATCAAAGTTTCAGTCCTTATAATTATATACACCTCTTCCAATGCTTCTTTTCATTTTTCTTATCAATTCTTATGGAGAATTAATATTCCACTATGTTGTGTATCAAAATTTATTTAGTTAATGGTACATGTTTTAATTTTTTTTTTTGCTATTATGGACAAAGCTTCTCTGAATACTTTTTGTAGCTTTTCCCCTTTTGATAACATAGTATAGTATTAGTTGTAGGGTCATGGGCCCAGGAATATGTCTAGGAGTATGAATAGTTTTGCAGTTTTTATTACATATTGCCTCATCAAAAATTCTCCCTCTCTGGGGGCAGCTAGGTGGCGCGGTGGATAGAGCACCAGCCCTGGATTCAGGAGGACCTGAGTTCAAATTCAGCCTCAGACACATAACACTAGCTGTGTGACTCTGGGCAAGTCACTTACCCCAATTGCCTCACTGGAAAAAAACCAAACAAAACAAAACAAAAATTCTCCCTCTCTCTCCTCAAGTCTCTTGTATTAACTGTATCCACATATATGTACATCCCCCATTAAAATGTAAGCTACTTGAGGGCAGGAAATGATTTCAATTTTGTTTCTGTATCCTCAGTACTTGGCACAGTGATTGACAGATCTGACAGACAGGTGCTTGCTGACCGATCTTCAATCTCTCCCTACATACAAATCCGGCCTCAGGCATATAACACTTACTACCTGTATGACCGTGGGCACGTCACTTAACCCTCATTGCCCAACCAAAAAAAAAAAAAAGAATTTATCTTTCAAAATAAAACAAAAAAACTAGGTGTTTGCATATTGTCTCTGCCATTAGATGTGTGCTCTGTGAGGGCAGGGTCTGTCTTTTGCCTTCTTTTGTATCCCTAGCAATTAGCACAGTGCCTGGAACATAACAGGTGCTTACCAAATTTTTATCGACTGACAAGTGTGGTACAGAAATCATAAAAGCTAATGTGATCTCAGGCTATTAAGAAAGTCTCAGCTGCTGAGAGTAAGGAGGTGATAGTACCAATGTTCTCTGTTCTGGTCAGACCACAACTAAAGTATTGGATTCAGTTCTGGGCACCACATTTTTTGGAAGGACACTGTTCACTGGAAACTATCCCAAAGGCAATCGGGTATTGACAGTCCTTGAGATCATGACATGCAGTTCAGTTAAAGAAATTGGAGATGTTTAGCCTAGAGAAGAAAAGACTCGGTTGGAGGGTGGGGTAATAGCTATCTTTGAGTTTTTGAAGGCCTGTCATAGAGGCAGAAGGATTTGAGTTTTTCTCTTTGGTGTCAGAGGGAAGGACTAATTGCTAGGAGTTATAAAAGGGCAATTTAGTTTTGATTTAACAAAAAGATTCCTGACAATTACAGTTATCCCAAAATAGAATGGACTGCCTCAGGAGGTAAGAGGTTTCCCTTAATAATAATGATATGTAATATATATTATAAAATATATAATAATAATTCTCTTAAATAATAATAAAATAAAACAATAATTATCATCATCAGTCAAATAGTATATATTAAGTACCTCATGTCTGGCACTCTGCTAAACCAAAACCCTACAGCAAACAAAAAACAAACCCAACTATTGCTTGCCTTCAATATGGTTATATTTTATTGTAGGAAGACAGTATATACATTTAAGTATTTAAAAATTTAAAAGAAGGGGCACAGTAGATAAGAGTGTTGGATTTGGAGCCAGAAAGTCCCGAATTTAAAAACTGATTCGGACTCTTACTAGTTATGTGACTGGCCAAATCATTTAACCTCTTGGGAAGCAATTGTGAAGATGCATCCTGCCAACTGTTCCCACAGGTATCATAGCCACTGAAAACTAAGCTACTGAAGATTCAGAAAGGCAAGTTTTTGCCACCCACGTCTTTGACATTCTCAAATGGTTCAGTATCAGAAAAAGATATCATTTAAACAGTGGAAATGGCACATGTGCTTTGCTACTACATACGTCCTAATCTGGCTGCACTTGGGTGTGTTTGACATCTTTGGTCTAGATGACCTCTGAGGCCTCTTCCACCTCTAAATCTAGGATTCTGTGACCTCTTGCAAATGTGGCCTTCATAGCTTGTGAAAACTAAATGCATGAGCTCCTATGTGGGATTTTACCCCCTGACTGTGAGCCACATGCCTCCTGTATTCCCCAAGGCACCTCAAAGTTTCCTTGAAAGAAAGTAATTATTGCAGATATGATCACTGTCAGATATAGGTCCTTCCTCATTCCCTAACACTGTGGGAGAATGGAAAAAGACCTGAGTTCAATTTCACAACAGTTTCAAAAAATGAGCAGGTCCTTGAGATGTCAGTATGCGTATGCCCTACTAGGTGCTTATCATATCCCCAGTGCCTCATGGTAGCATCACATCCATGTTACAGACCTCATTTTTCAGCCCCAGTACTAAAAATGTGGCTCTTCCTCATTCAGACCTCTGGCAAACCTCTACAAGTACTTATGATAGGCCAAGAGCATATTTGAATCTGCCAACTAAGGACTTAGGGGGATGAATTATATATTTCCTCAAATAAATTACAAATGTAAGTTTGAACTCTGATGTTCTACAAGCTTTCTGAGGTTACTTAACATCTGCTTTGCTTACACTAGTTATCTAATTATTTTAACATATATATTTCTCAAAATGCACCTCCCTTGTTTTTTCATGAAACTGGAGGGATCATGAAGGTGGAACACTGGCAGACAGTTGAACAGGTTGGAGAATTTTGCTGAAATCATTTTTCTACTTTGTTTTTAAGGTACAGACTCCTGGGTAAAGGTGGAAGCAGTGGTGGATATGTTTGTAAATGAAGGTGATGTAAAAGCAAATATTAATTTTTAAATGTGCACTTTTGGTAAATGATCTGAAGATAGAAGATGCCGATAATGAGAGAAATATTAGTTGATTATTATTTTTTTTTTTGGTGGGAGGTCATGTGAATACAAACAGTAGTACCCTAGGGGTTAAGAAGAATATTAAAGGTTGCTTTTCCAGTACTTTGTGAGGCCCCTCCTGAGCTTGAGAGCATCCTAAAGTCCTTTTCCCCTTATCTTGAAATATCATAAAGCTTCTCTTTAACCTGTACCAAAAGAATTGCTTTTGTCTCCCTTATCCTGTGTTCTCCCTGTGTCTAATCTTTAACCTGTGTCCCCCTGTCCTGTCCTTAAATCTTTAAACCATAAAGAATTCCCTTTTGTCTCCCTCATCCTATATCATAAAATCCTTTCTTTTCCTGTCCTTAATCTTTAAACTCCATAAAAAACCTAAAATTACATCATTGTTCTGAAACCTCTATATAAGCATAACTCCCCCAATATAGTCCGCCATTCCACAACTTAGTCTTAAAGAGTTGTCTAGGGACATTGAGAAGCTAAGTGACTTGCCCAGAGTCATACAACTGGTATATGTTAGGAGGGGTACTTGAATCCCAGCACTGAAGCAGGCTCATTCTGTACCATTCCCATATTTCTCACATACTGTATTAAAAAGAACATCACCATCACTTCACCTTTGGTCAACAGGGGAAGGTAGCACTATAATGTTAATATCAGGATAATTTGAATTATTTTTCTTGACCTAGTTTTTTAATGAATGAAAAAGAGAGGGGGTTAATAACATAAATAATAACATGCGCTAGTAAATGTTCAACAACGGAGGGAGGGGATGTATATCTGAATACCCTTTTAAGTTTAATCTGTATTGTTAACATTTTTTCCATTATCTTCTTTAGCCTAATTAACAACAGATCGACAAACCAAGCCCTGATTTGTTCCATTCCTGGTGGAATGCCCAACGTGTGAATGCTCATCCTAAAAATTTAACAGTGGGCTTCCCTGTACGGTTATCAGCTAGCTCCAGGAGACCACTGTTGATATGTCCAAAGGGAAAGGAAGAATATTATTGTATCAATTACTATTCTCTCCTGAAAGAAGCTAAGGACACACTCTCAAACTTCCAGACCCTCACTTAACCTTCTACAAGCCTAGAACATTTAAGGATAAAAGATGGAGTAGAGGTTGTGTGGTTACCTCTGTTTAGGTTCCTGTAACACTAGACTGAGTTTTACTTTATTTTTTTTTCTCATTTCCTGAAAAGCCAGTGTGTAAGACTGATTGTAACAGGAATCTTTGAGTGCTAAAATACAGAGAAATGAAAGACCTTTAGGAGTTTTATGAAAGAGTTAGATAAATGATTGTATCTCCAACTAATTAAATTCTCCAGAGACCAAACCACCCATTGTGAGCATTTGGTGATGACAGTATTTTATTCTCTTTTATTCACTTATCAATTAAAAAATCACTTTCACAACATAATGAAGTAAGGTGAGTGAGAACACAGAAGATAGGAAAATTGAGTTCGTCAGGGGTTTTTAAACCATTTTTGGGTCACAGACCCCTTTGGGAGTCCAGTGAAGCCTATGGACCCCTTCTCAGGATAATGGTTGTTTTTGTTTTTTGGGTGAGGCAGTTGGGGTTAAGTGACTTGCCCAGGGTCACACAGCTAGTGAGCGTTATCAGTCTGGGGTGAGATTTGAACTCAGGTCCTCCTGACTCCAGGGCCGGTGCTGTATCCACTGTGCCACCTAGCTGCCCCAGGATAATGTTTTTAAATGCACAAAATAAAATACACAGAATTACATATGAAACCAACTATGTTGAAAATTAAAAAAAAAAAAGCTCATGGACCCAAGTTAAGAAGCACTGCATTAGCAGCACTAACGTAATTTAAAATTTCCCAACAAATTATTTTTCCTAAAGGAGCAAAAGGCTACATTTCTATCTTTGAATGTATGAATCCTCAAATATAGTTTTATTCATGCCCATTTTTCGGGCCAGTTAACTGCAAATTCACATTATACCTAATTCTGCTTACATTACGCTTTTTCTCTGATGCAATCAAGAAAAATGAAAGAAAATTTTAAAAGGGAAGACTTTAAGAAATGAAAGCATTTTCTTAGGAATCTCCAGAATACACAGGGTATCCTGCATCTTCTTTGCCCTTTCTCCACCCCCATCATGTATTACCTGTTGGAAAGGAAAGTCTTAATTCCTTGCAGTTAAGAAAATATTGTTTTAAAAAAAACATTATTCCAGTTCACCTTTGGCTTTGGATTCCCAGCCACTCTGCATGTGAACGTCACTGGCATGCCCTCAAAGATCTTGTAATGTTTCAGTTTCATCTCGAAGTATGGTGCCATTCCATTCTCCACCGGCCCATCTCCTTGCTGTGATTCATCACCTGAGTCATCTAGGGGAGACCGCTCCAGCCTATACTCTATTTCACTGATGAGTCTTTGCTCACAGCTGGAGACTTTGTACTCCTGCAGTACGCAAAGAAGGGTCATGTTAGCATCCAACAATCCCTTCCCATGTGGCACAATGTATCCCACAAGCTCTATCATCCTACTCCATAAGATATTTAAAAGATATTGGGCTCCTTTACATGTGGAAAAAAGGATGTTACATAGATGGAAGACATAATCTGGGCCCAAGTAAAGTTCCTTATAAAACAAAGAACATCTGGAAATGTGTATATGAGATTTCAAATTGTTTTCAAGTCCTATCATCCAAAAAAAAAATCTATGAGTATTGGTTTCTTTTTCTTTCTCTCAGAAATTTAAAAAAAAAACCCCAACAAAAACCAACAACAACAACAAAAAATCAAGGCCATCTATTTTTGAACAGCTCATAAAAATAAAATTCAACATAACACTGATTTCTTTCTTGAGGGTGAAAGCAGATTTAGGTTTGTGTGTCTCTCCAGAAGAGCAATAATACATATGGTCAACAGCTGTAAATCTACATGGAACTGTTACCACAAGGATTAATAAGAAAATGGTACCATGTCCTTGTCTGTCACTCATGGCAATTCCTGGCCTTCTTGCCCTCCCTCTAAGCTTTTCCTCCACACTGTCTCTGTCATGAACTGTTCTCCACAACCTCTTAAAAAAAGGCTAAAAAGCCAACCAAATTTTTGATTTAAAAGGGAACTAATTAAAATTAAATAGAAGACATATGTTGGCACCTTGCTGACTGTTAAACTAGGTCTTCTCATTTTCTAATTGTGCAGTATAACATTCACAAGGTGATCAATTTTAAAATATTCCTCCAGTTATTAGACCATGAGTTTAACTGCTGCTCTCTTATCTTAAATGGGTTATGTTACAGGAGGTAGGTCACACACAGAGGAACAAGAATTTTCCTGAGACTTACTACTGCCTTTGAGCAGCTTACATACTTCGGGGTGTGAGACTGTCATGTCCTTTTATTTTTCTTATAGACATACTAGTTTTATGAGATATTTATACTCTTTTGGGAGTTACTCAGCCTTGCCTCTTTACTCATGAAAAGAAGCACCTCACCAGCATTCAAGAAAGGAGGACAAAAAGAGAATAAATTTCTTAAAACAAACATTTGGCTAGCTTCTTTGTCTATGTCCAATCAAATTTCATCAGAAAATGTGATTACTCTTTTACAAAAAAGGCAGAACAGATTTAAAGGAGGCAATATTGGGTACCAAGCATCAGCTGATGTTAGAAGGACAGAATTACATTGGAATTTCTAATTAAATGACAGCAAGTCTGGGGTTGCAGTAATGTTGTTCATCTAAAATAATATTAAAATACAAACTGGTAACGCTATTTAGGATTAACTTGTGGCAGTGAAAGACAGCTATCTGCATAGAAGAGAAGGGGTAGGAAAAAGAACAGTAACAAAGACACTAGAAGAATAAAAGGTAGAAGAAAAAGAAGAAAGGTGAAAACGTTAACCTTTTGACCATCCTGAGAATTCACTATAGAAGAAGCATGAAGAGACTCAATTTCCTGTAATGGCAGAAAAAAATAAAGATGAAGACCAGTGGTATAAGTGAGTAGGACAACAACACAATTTCTGGAGGTTTACCTTAAATGGAATTGATGGGTTTAATACTTAACACAAGGGGGTAAAAAACCTTTAAATTTCTGACATCACTGCTGATGTCTAAATAGGACATGAAGAATAGTTAGTTTACTAGGCCTCCTGAAGAATAGTTTACTTGGCTCTTTAAACTTGTGTTAAAAGGCATTTTTCTGGTTTGAGATAATATCTGGAAAACCCAGATAGCAGAAAACGACATTTAAAAGATAATATAGCAATTTCAATGGGTTCAAAAATGTTTTCCTCAATGAAAAAAGCTTAAAACAGTACTTTCTCAAGTAGAATTCCCCAATTCTTATCTTAAAAAAAACAATACATTTATGCATTTTACATGTATTCCCCCAATTTTTATTAAGGAAGTTGTGTTTCCTTACTTAATGAGAAATTTCCATTAGACTAACCTCTTGGAGGAAAGGGAAATTTTTTTGTTTTTTTTCTCCCCATTTTGGGTTATCCCCAGTGCCCAGATAGTGCCTGGCACATAGGTAGCTCTTAGTAAATGTCTGTTGACTGAAGAATTGACTAAAGCATCATCACTAAAAGGTCCCTGGCCTGTAGGTTTCACAGATGAGTTCTTCCCCCTCAGGGAAAAATACTGAGCGAAAGGAGAGAATAAATAGAAAGATACTTGAAATGAGAAAAAATGGAGTGGTGAGAAAAGAGGGAGGAAAGGAAAAGCATGTGATGATCTCCACTCACTATTAGAGGGATGTCATGGTTTCAATACTTTGTGAGTCTTCCCCAGTCCTCGAAGAACTGATCCAAAAAGTCAAACATTAATGATTTTTCTATTTTCTCAGAAAGCCAAAAACAACACAGCACCTGTGTAGCAGGTTCCTCTTCAGGTTCATGGATATTAAAGACAGTGGCACTGTCGGCACCTAGCAGTCGACGAGCCATTCTTTCCTCATAGGTTAATCTCTAAAAAAGGGCCGCCAAGATGGAGAAAAGAAGATGAGATTAGAAATTATGCTCCTTCATGAAAATAACAGGAACAAAACAGGCATCTTTCTTACAACCTCCCCCTGCTACTTGCATCTACAAGAGGCTCTGGATTTCTCTCTTGTGCCTCAGTTGATCTTCCCTGTGCCTTCCTGCTGCTCCTGAAGACGTAACCCAATGCTGAGTGATAAGGTCATTAACTCTGAGAGCCACCCGGTGGGACACAACAAATTTAAGGTGAGTAAGGGTAAATGAGGCAGAAACTCACATGGAAAACACATGGGGGGGCAGTTTCATTGTTTTAATGCTGAAAGCAAATGCAGATATTCACATGGCAACAGGTCTTCAGTAAAATTTATTTCTCCCTGTTTTCCATGTGACCTCACAACAGTTCTTGGGGGCCCTGTAGAATGGAGCATTTAGACTAGTTGAGAGTGGTGGTGACTTTACTTTTTTTACTTTCACATGTGAAAGAATTTCAAAAGATTCCTATACTTTTTGGTATTTGAGGTGTGACATATATATGAATGGAATAATCATACAGACTCTCTGATGAGAACAGACAAGTTTAGACAGGACTTTGAAAAGACATTTGCCAGAGTGTCATCTGCCAACTTATTTTTCAATTTGAAGAGTGACTGGTTGATCAGTGGGCAAAGAAAAAGAGTCATATTTTTCAGTCTGGTATAGTGGAAAGACTACAAATTGGAGGTAGTGGATGTTGGGTTTAAAACCCACATCTTATACCTACTGCCTGTGTGACTTGAGGCAAATCATTTAACCTTTGTGCATTTTAGTTTCTTAATGTGTAAATCAAGAAGGCTGGAGGAGAGGGAATCTGAGGTTCTTTCTAATTCTTCATCTATGATCCTCTATAAATGAACATTTCAGAAATACATCTCCAGCCTATTATTGTAAGAGACTTGCCATATTACTATGCTGCCACTGAGCTCTTCTCTTCTCTCCTAAGCACCGCATGTTGGAAAGGCCTTATTATGGAAACACATCATTCTGATGGTCAACTTCAAAGGTCACCTTCATGAGTTTTACATTGTTCAGACAGAAATAAGCCCTTACTCATCCTTACCCAAATTCCTACTAAGTCTGTAGGTTCAATCCAGTTAAACTTAAAAATTCCTGAACATGGACCCAAAATTTATTGGAAGCCCTATGGTTAAGAAAACATGATGAGAAAACTTACAAAACTAGGACTTTCTTGTGATGTTCCCAGGATTGGTTGGTGCTGGTCTCAGTTATAACCAGGAAATGAAGCCAGGAATGTGCCAAATTAAAAACAGCCCCAAAGCTTAAACGATTTCCAATTTCAGATAGAGTGTGTTTGTGTTGTTTGTATGTGTATGTATATGAACGTAAAGGAGAAGGTAGGGGCTAGTAGGGGTAGTGAAGAGTGTTCAACAAGGGTGTCAAGTGTTCAAATAAATTCTTTCATCTCTAGAAAAAAGTTGGAATAAATTAATTGCCATGTCTTGCATAGTAAGTCTTGAACACCACAGCTACCTTTCTAAATAGCCACACCACTTCTATTTAAAGTATGTCAATATTAGTTCACAGTAAGACCACCAAAACCAACCTGAAATCCATTCATTAAGAAATAGGCTTTTAGACTAAACAGGTGTATTTTAAATTTTGTGTCCTGTGTCTGTGAGTCACTGAGGCAGCCAGTAGGCTTGGAGTCAGAAATACATAAGTTCAGGACCTGATTCAAACACTCACTAGCTGTGTGACCCTAGGTAAGTCACTTAACCTCTTCAGCATCAGTTTTCTCATCTGCTAAATAGGGACAATAATACCCACATCAGAGGGTAGTTATGAGGCTCAAATGAAATAATATACGTTAAGTACTTTGCAAGAAACCTTAAAATTCTACATAAATGTTAGCTATTATTATTACTGTGCCCCATGGAGATAGAGTTAATTCTTTGTATAAATAAGCAAAAAACAAACAAACAAATGAGAGAATATTATGTGATATTAGGGAAATTTTTTTCTTGAGAACATCTCCTTCCATATAGGGAAACCCTGATTCATTCGTTTTAAGCTAACAAATATGAATATTTCAGGGTACCTTAGGAATGCCATTCACTGCTAAACTGGGATGCCTGTGGACTTGCTCCAACCAAGAGACATTCCATATGGAATGTTTAAAAAAAATTGGAAAGGTGCCTTTACCTAGCTTGAAGAAGTTGACATTAAGTATTTGTTTTAGTATTTCAAGGGCTTTTAGTTGACAGAGCCAGGGAGTGTTTCCAGATCACGTACATTTACACATGTAAGCACTTATTGCAAGAAGTCAATATTTTCCTTTTGTGAAAAATCTTCTGCAGGCAGGAGAATTATGGGCATATTTTTATTTGTGTTCTATTTCTTCCTGAAGTGAAATTAGGATGCCCTCCCAATTAAAATCAGCATTCAATATCTTTCCTCTGCCTTGGCCACATTATGGTTCTATACTCTCACTTTCCACTGCCCTGATAATAAACATCCTTTGGAAATATGGCTAGAATGGAGATTTTTTTTGACCCTGAAAGAGACTCCTGACCAGGCAAGGTCATATCAAGAACCCTTTCTCCTTCTTCCATTTAAAAACCAGGTAATGATTCACGGTGCTCAGCCCAGGCAAAAAAAGAGGGCTTTCTCACTGCCTGGGAAGCAGCTGAACTCTCTAGTCCCACTTTTCCAACTGCCTTAGAGGACTGAGACCTACAGAGAGGAGGCTCAGCAGTGAACACTGAGGAGGAAATAGTTGTGTCTAGTGGAGCAGAGAAAACATCTTGTACTTTCTTACAAGACCCTGAGTTTCTTCATTTGGCCTTTCTGTGATGTAAAGTTCAGAGTTAATTTTTCTCTAGTTTTTTTTTTTGGCCTGGCTGCTTAGCAAACTAATAAGATAGCTGTGGGACTTCTGTTTTTAAAAACTAGCTTCACTCTTTCTAATTCCTGGGTCAGCATGTAGCTATGATCTGACACAACTGATTGGAATGGTCTGTGGAGGTGGGGAAAAGAAAACCTATACCGATGAGTATCACATAAAAAGTACACGTAGGAGCAATATTGAAGGCTGGGGAGGAATGAGTTCCTCTTTCAGAGGCCTTCATTCTAGCACATTCTAGATAGACATAAACCACTTCAGAACCCCCCTGCCACCTTCAACTTAATTTGCCTGTATCCCTGTCCTCTCCATCTTTCCTCATTTTGTCCTCAGACCCAATTCTGCCTCTTTTATTCCCCCTCAGCACAGCCCAAAGAGGCAAATGGTTCAGAAGAGTATATTGAGGGCTTTGTGGGGGAAGTATAATGTCATTCCAGTTCTCTCTCCCCCTAAGCCACTAATCCCAAACTCAAGAGTAAGCACTCTGAGATTTAAGGCAAAAGATAAAACCAAACCCAAAGGATGTTAAGAAATGTGCTAATAAAGCACATGCAGCAGTTTTCAAGCAGCTAACCAAGGGACCGTTTGAAATACAAGGCCCACATTTATAATTAAGTACCGGCTGTCCATTGTTCAGAAGGTCCTCTTTGAAGCGAAGCTTCCTTTCAAGGTCTTGAATGACAGCATCCTTTGTGCCTTGAATCTCTTCATCAGAGGCTATCCTAGCAGTTCTGCCAGTCTTCTTTGGAAATCCCCTGCAGGACAAAGCATAATAGGATTCCTAAGGCAGCATAGTGTCTTATGGTGCCTATGTGGCCTATGAAATCTTTTAGTTCTTTTAGTTCCAGTTCAAACAGAAAGACAGAGCATATAGTCCAACAGCTTGTCACTCTCATTCTTTTTCTCTGCTATGTCTGCTGCATAATGGAAAGAATCACGAAAAGGTATTGTTACAGTTTGAGTAACCTGCTTTTGGAATGTCTGTGGGCTGAAAAGTTGATGTGTTTTTTACAAAGATAACGTATTTCACTAGAAATAAGTAAGAGCCAGGGACAACTAGGACCTTAGTTTTAGGTTTTAGTTCTCTTTTGGCCACTAATGACTATGACCATAATCAGGGATACTTTTATTTTGCATAAAATAAAGGCCTGAGGTATTAGGTCCATTTCTTTCCCTAGTGTTAAATATTCCCTTAAAACCACATGCTTTTCCAGAGGCCCAGGAGATTTCAAATCTCATGAGGTGATCTTATGGCCACTTGGAATTCCAGGAGAAAATTGAATCCCTTTTCTCCACCCCCCCCCCCAAAATTATCTTTGCTAGGGGAAGAGATAACATTCTGAGGTTATGGAAGTAAGAAGTAAGAAGTCAATGGTGTTAGGTGTTTGGTATATAGAGATCTTACTTTGTCTAGGCCTCAAGCAAATTGCAGAACCTGTCTTCATTTTCTCTACCATGTCTTTCTTTTTTTCTTTCTTTTTCTTTTTTTAGGCAGTTGGGGTTAAGTGACTTGCCCAGAGTCTGTGTGAGCCAGTGCTCTATCCACTGCACCATCTAACTGCCCTATCTTGCCTTTCTTCTGCTTGACTTGGGCTACAATGAGGATAAGAAAGAGTAAATGAATGAAGTCCATGGTTCCTTGAAACAGCCACAATTCAATGCTTTAGTTACACAATAGACAGCCCTGGTAATAGCAAGACCTAGAAACATGAGAGCATACCATCTACAGCACCTGGTTTTGTGAGCATGTACAACAAAACTCTGATGGAAGCCAGGTTGGAAGTATTGAAATAAGTATAAAAAGGCTATACTGGGGCAATAGGTGGATAGAGCTCCAGCCTTGGAGTCAGGAGGACCTGAGTTCAAATCAGACACTTGACACTTACTAGCTGTGTAACCCTAGGCAAGTCACTTAACCCTGAACTGCTTCACCAAAAAGCAAAAAAAAAGCTATACTGCAGAATATTACCATTACAACTCCATGGTAAAACAAAAAAGATCAATAAACTTGAACGAGAAGAATAATGTTATGATGCAGGTTTTATAATTCAACCTTCCTACTCAGGCCACAATGTGGCCTCTTCCCAAATCAGTCCCTCAGGGGAAAATCGGCCTAAAAAAATCAGTCAAGGAACTGTGCTAAGCACTGACCATAAAAAGAGAGGCGAAAGTCAATCTTTGCTGTCAAGGAGTCTAATGGAGGCGACAACATGCAAACAGCTATGTATAAACAAGATATATACAGAATAAAGTGGAGATAATCAACAGAGAGAAAGCCCTAGAATTAAGAGGGGTTGGGAAAGATTTCCTACAGAGGTGGGATTTTAGCAGAGACTTAAAGAAAGTCAGGTAAGCCAAGCGATATGGCTGCTCCCCACTTCTAATCACTCTCGCAGGATGTTGGAGCTACATTTGGCTCAGAGTCTTTTGACTTTTTTGAATTCTAGCTCTTAGCACTTAATAAAGATTCTTGTAGTGACAGAGGTTCATACTTTTCTTTGCTGTAGAGCAAAAGTGGACAGTTAAAGCTTTTACAGTTAACATCCTTGTGAGAAGGAACAGGTAATTGATTTTTTATTTCAGTGACTCAAGCAATATAAATGAGTAATTTCAAATGTAGAAAACTCCAAAGGCCCAAAGTCATAAGGTAAATAGAGTTTTTAATTAGGGAGTTGGAAATAATGATCAGTAAGACCCTTCTTAGCTGTAAATCTAAGTTCCTAGGATCTACATTCTCATCATTATTCATGAACCATTACATAACTATGAAAGGGAGTGAAATAGTTCTCATATCAGAGCAATTCTACAATTCTACACTTCACACTAAGGACTATGTACTCTTCTCATGTAAAGAGGGAGAAAACAGATTATTTCAAGAGAATAAACCTAAATTATTAGCCAACATATGAGAGTATATCCCAAATCATCAATAAGAGAAATGCAAATTAAAACAACTCTGAGGTATCACTGTAACCCAATCAAACTGGCAAATATGACAGAAGACGAAAATTATAAATGATGAAGGAAATATAGGTAGATTGGAATATGAATGCACTATTGCTGGAGATGTGAACTGGCCCAATCACTGTGGAAAACATAGAATCATAAGTGACTTAAGTATCACTATTAAGCACAAGGATGTCAAACATAAATAAATGTCTCACATATTGAAAACTATTTTTTGTGGAAGCAAAAAAACCAGCAACAAAGTGTTCATTCATCAATTGGGGGATGACTGAACAAATTTCAATGTATTAATGTAATGGAATATTTTTTGTGTCAAAATCAACAACTATGAAAAATTCAGATCAATGTAGTATTTGTATGAACTGATACAGAGGGAAATGGGCAGAACCAAGAGAACAATTTTCACAATGGCTACAACTAACTTAAAAGAAAATTGCACTTATAGGACAACAGATAATCAATGAAACTGCCAATTTTGATTCTAGAGATTCAACAGTAAAATAAACCTTCCCTTTCTTTGTAGTGAGGTGGTGGAATACAGGAATATTGCAGTTTCAGATACGGCAAATATGTAGGCTTGTTTTGCTTAACTACACACTCTTGCTGGGAAATAGCAAGGATTCTCTCTGGCATATATATATATATATATATATATAATTTACTTATTTTATTTATCAATAATCACTTTCATATGCTCTTGGGTTTAAAATTTTTCTCTCCCTTCTTCCCCACCACCCTCTCTAAGACAGCGCACAATCTGATATAGGCTATACATTTACATTCTTATTAAACATATTTTCACATTAGTGATGTTGTAAGTAAAAATTAAAACCAACAGCAGGAGCCATCAGAAAGAGGAAACAAAACTCGACAGAAGAAAAAAAAATAGCAATTCAACTTCCATAGTTCTTTCTTTGGATGTAGACAGCATTTTCCATTACAAGGCCTCTGGAGATATCTTAGATCCTTGTATTGCTGGGAAGGGTTAAGTTTATCAATATTAATCATTGCACAAAGTAGCTGTTATTGTGTACAAAGTCCTCTTGGTTCTGCTCACTTCACTCAGCATCAGACCATACAAGTCTTTCCAGGTTTTTCTGAAGTCAGCCTGTTCATCATTTCTTATAGCACAATAGTATTCCATTACATTCATATACCACAATTTGCTCAGCCATTCCCCACTTGATGGGCATCTCCTCAATTTCCAATTCTTGGGCACCATAAAAAGAGCTGCTATGAATATTTTTGTACAGGTGGGTCCTTTTCCCATCTGTATGATCTCTTTGGGATATAGCCCTAGAAGTGCTATTACTGGATCAAAGGGTATGTACATTTTTATAGCCCTTTGGGCATAGCTCCAAATTGTTCTCCAAAATGGTTGGATCATTTCACAACTGCACCAACAATGCATTAGTGTTTCAGTTTTCCCACATCTTCTCCAACATTTATCATTTTCCTGTTTTGTCATGTTGGCCAATCTGATAGGTGTGATGTGGTACCTCAGAGGTGTTTTGACTTGCATTTCTCTAATCAATATTGATTTAGAGCATTTTTTCATATTACTATAGACGGCTTTAATTTCTTCATCTGAGAACTGTCTGTTCATATCCTTTGACCATTTATCAATTGGGGAATGGCTTGTTCTTATAAATTTGTCTTAATTCTCTATATATTTTAGAAATGAGGCCCTTATCAGAGAGACTGGTTATAAAAATTCTTCCCCAATTTTCCACCTTTCTTCTAATCTTACTTGCATTGGCTTTGTTTGTGCAAACACTTTTCAAATTAAAATTATCCATTTTGCTTTTTGTAATGTTCTCTATCTCCTGTTTGGTCATGAATTCTTCTGTTCTCCATAGATCTGATAGGTAAACTATTCCTTGTTCTCCCAGTTTGCTTATATCAGCCTTTATATCTAATCATGAACCCATTTTGACTTTATTTTGGTATATGGTGTGAGATTTGGTCTATGCCTAGTTTCTGCCATACTCTTTTCCAGTTTTCCCAGCAGTTTTTTCAAAGAGTGGGTTCTTATCCCAGAAGCTGGGGTCTTTGGGTTTATCAAATAATGGATTACTATAGTCATTGACTACTGTGTCTTGCATATTTAACCTATTCCACTGATCACCACTCTATTTCTTAGCCAGTACCAAGCAGTTTTGATGATTGCTGCTTTATAATACAATTTAAGATCTGGAATGGCTGGGCTACCTCCCCCTGCATTTCTTTTCATTAGTTCCCTTGGTATTCTGGGCCAATTCATTCTTCCAAATGAATCTTGTATTATTTTTTCTAACTCTATAAAACAATATTTTGGTAGTTTGATTGCTATGGCACTGAATAAGTAAATTAGCTTAGGTAGAATTGTCACTTTTATTATATTAGCTACGCCTACCCCTGAGCAACTGATGTTTTTCCAATTGTTTAAATCTGATTTTATTTGTGTGAAAAGTGTTTTGTAATTGTGTTCAGAGTTCCTGGGTTTGTTTCAGCAGGTAGACATTTTATAATGTCTATAGTAAATTTAAATGGAATTTCTCTTTCTATCTCTTGCTGTTGGGCTTTGTTGGTAATATATAGAAATGCTGATGATTTATGTGGGTTTATTTTATAGCCTGCAACTTTGCTAAAGTTGTTTATTATTTCAAGTAGTTTTTTACTTGATTCTCTAGGATTCTCTAAGTATATCATCATGTCATCTGCAAAGAGTGAAAGCTTTGTTTCTTCTTTGCCTATTCTAATACCTTCAATTTCTTTTTCTTCTCTTATTGCTAAAGCTAATGTTTCA